CAATAAACTCACAAAAGTCTTTTGTCCTTTTGTTATTGTTTATTCAGCCTAGGTGGGAGACACAAGGGGGACAATGGTTGGTCAATGTTGGGGAATAAAAGAGGGGTTGTTTTTGGTCATTAAAAGGGGACAGGGCTGGGTATTATTTATGGGTATTTTGGAGTTATGGCTTTGGGTTACTGTGAGGGAAAACATGGGCAGGAAGTAGGGGCTGGAGGTGGGTCATGGTTTTGGCTCTTTGTGGGTGTTGTGTTGGGATTGTGAGGTTTATTTGGGCAGGGAATGAAAGGAAGGAAGAGAGGGTTTTACTGGTTTATTAAAAGGCTTAAAAGAAGGAAAATAACAACAAACAAAAAGGTTTTGGTTTATACACTCTTATTTTCGGCCATGGCTAAAATAAGAGTAGGAAAAACTTTATTTTGAAAAGGAAATATTTTGGATGTTTTGGGATGGTTTGGACTGAAATGGGAGTAGACCACAGAACCCTCGGGTCAAACGGAGGTTGTTTTGGCCTTTCGGGTTTAAGGACATTTGAATTCAACTAAAATGGATCATAATATTTGAATATAAGTCCTTTGGTTCTTATGATAGTGTAAGGTGTGAGTGAGAGTTTCATGGGGCTAGGCTCGGGTATAACAAAAATGGACACTCCTAATATGTAATTGTGGAACACAAAAAAAACGTAACGCAATTAACCTCAATCTAATATGGCATGAAACACTAAACACCAAAAGTAATAAAGCTACAACTACCTCATTACACCATTATGCTTTTATTCAAACAGTTGTATAGATTAAAAATCTCGATTTTATGAATACGATTTTTATAAATCTCTAAAATTTTATAATGAATAGAATGAGATGACAAACCAAATAATTTGCACTGAAGTGTTTAACCTGCTGTGATTGTAGAATACAGGTCATACATAATTAGTGTGGCATATTCATGTCATTATGGTTAATGTAATGGATGTCCCTCATGTCCCTACAGAAAGAATCAACAATTCCCTCTGTACTATACATATCTTCTCCTATGAAAAATTAACAACAATTGACCTAAGTAATAATGCAAATGAAGTGACTCATTTAGTGTTTGAACAATTTATGTACTTCGATACAACATTATCCATGTGAAAAGTCAATCTTTTTTCTTGAATAAACTCATGTAGCTAGCAACAACATGACTCTATATGGCTAAAATTCAACAAATATAATAGAGCAAATTTACAAAATTGATATTGTATCATTTGGATATTTAAAATAAATCATCGGTCCATACCTTGAGATAGTGCGCCGGTGCAAGAGAAAGCACCACCCATAAAATAGATTCCGGCAAAACTTTTGTTGTGAAGCTCTACTATAAGCACTGTTATTGTAATTAATGAGTTTGACACAAAATGAAATATAGAGTAAAACTGAAATTTAATAGATTCCGGCAAAACATATATTCTCAACTTAATTACCAAAAGTCTATTAATTGTTATCTTTTGATTTCAGCGAAGCCTGATTATATGCTATCTTGGTGCTACTTCCATGAGGGATATTACGTGGTTTGTTGAATAGTACATAGTTGAGAGAAGATTTAGTGTGTAACACCCCCACCTATTTGAAATAAGGGAGGACATAATCACATTCAAAATCTCCATCTTAAAAAACATTATACAATACCCAATTCGATATCAAACTAATCAAAGGTAAATTCACATGCTGAATGTAGGTAAAGTACATTAGCACTCTTTGACAATTTTTATCCTGGTAAGTTGTGATATGTTGTTTTTTTATCAATCCTACTTATCTAGCTACCATACTGAAATGTACATGTATATTGATCTCTTTTATCCTTTTCTTCATGAGGATGGTGACCATGATTTGTTATGCTCTGATTTGTTCATCTCTATTCTGTTACTTACACTTGCCATTTTTTTTTTGCTTATTTTGCTCATCGCTTTAACAAAAAGGCTGACTTACCTTTACTCCATACTGCAATATCTAAGCTTAAAATTCATTCTACGAATCTACAGGTATTTATAGGGTACCGGAAACAAATCACATTAGTCTCGTTTATCTACCCAAACATCAAATATCCAAGAATCCAAACAAATCAAATAGCATCAATCTATCAAATTAATACAAAATACAAACAATACACGTAATTTAAAACAAAATCTCTAAAATTGGATTTCAAGAAATAAAAAAAGAAATGCATGACTATGTACTAGACACAGTCATCTTAGCCTACAGGTTAGAAGAACACCCATAGCTATACTTGCTACAACTGGTGATTGTCTATATACCCAAAGTTATTCACAACACTAATCACCATATTAAAACTCTACTTAATGTATTTACTTACCCATTGAATTGAGAAATTAAGGGTTTGGAGATAACCCTACAGCGATTGCACTACTTCGATGTTAGCAATTAAGGGTTTGGAGATAACCCTACAGCGATTGCACTACAGTGATTGGACAGCTGCGGTTGGGAACTGAGAATGATAGCTGGACAAAGACATATTTTTGGAGTTTTGGTCGACCACTGTGAACTTTTGCATCACTCAAATGTGAATCCAAAGAGGTATAACGCCTGACCGGAAGGCAACTTTATCCACAATGGAACGGCAAACGAAAGTGCAGAAAATATACTAAGTAAACAGAAATTTTAGGCTCCAAGCAACCAGTGATCATATAGTGGAACCCAACAATATTGTACAATAATTCCAAGTAATAATACTAATAAAAAAAAGTCGGTCGATACATGAAGAAAATATACCTTGAGAGCCAAATCTTTGGACATCATAGATCGACACTGTGACACTGTGTTGAGCTTTCCAGTGAGCAATTTCCCCTGTTAATGTAATTAGTATTGCAAAGGCTTGATAACTAACTGTAAGAGAATATCCGTCATCATTCCACTCTCCCAGCTCTTTCCGTTCATAGAACTGCAAGAAAGAAAAGACACAATTGCAAATAGTTTGCTTGTGTGAGAAAATATATTTGCAAAAAGGGAAGGGGAAAAATAAAACACGCTGTGAATAGACTGAAAATGTTATACTTATCCAACCTAGACACCAAAGAACATCTTGCAGATACTTGACATCAATGTGGCCTCTGCATTCAGAGTCAATATCACCCGTGCACAGTCCCAATTGAGTTATAGCCTTTATACATGGGATAACATTACTGTCTAAATTAAATAAAGGCCATATTCAACTGCAAATCAATACAAATAAAGAATGCTACTTGTTTCGTGATTCAGTCACATTTGAGCCCATGTGAAGCTGTTTTTGGAATGTTGAGAAGCGTTCAAAGATGGAAAAATACACCTTTAGCATCATAATGAATAAAGAGGGCACTCCTAGACAAATTCATCAATATGCGGCTGGTGTCTGCATAATGTTGGTCAAACCACTGATTTAAAAAACTGTTTCATTATTAGCCAATATGAGTGACGTTAAATTTTATAAATATTGATAACCTTCTTAATGGGTTTTTACAATGTGATGTGCAGTAGAACTCAGTAGAAGAGAACCTCCCACCAGAGAATCAAGTATAGATCTTTGCACCTTTTTTCTACTCATTCAAATAACCAGGGAAAATGGAAGGGATAAAACAATAAAAGAAGTTATTGAAGGAAAGGGACCGCATTATCATATAAAACGAAAGAGACTATGCCTTTATGTGCTCCAGTTCTTACAACATCATAGGTCTAGTTCCTTGCCACATTACATATCCATCGTGATGATGGGCAATTTCAATATGCAAACTATACCTCTATAATAAAGCTGCACTGATGCACTTTTCAGACGAAACACAAAACAAAAACCATTTATATCAAAGCTTTATATTTATCTTGTGTTCAAGAAAAAACAAAGATATCAAGATTACCTTCAGGGGAAGATTAGTGAAAAAATCAAGCCAAGCTATAGTCCCTAAAATAGAAAAAATTGTCTAAGATATTACATCTTGTAGTCAATTGGTCCATAATACTCTGAGAAAATAACAACCAGCCCTTTGTTGTTTGGATGAATTAAAGCATATTTGCATTTATCTTAAGTTCAAAGGATAAGCCACTTGCAATTTTAAACATAATTCATCAAACTTTGCACTTCTTGAATATAGTCTTTCTCATTTAGTCCCTCATGTCATCAGTTGTGATATTAGAAAATAGACCTAGAGAGCATAAAACAATATTAGAAAAAAATCAGCGAGTATACATGAGAAATTCAAGGAGCTTGAGAACATAAAACAATATGTAACATGACTACAACAACAACAACAACAACCCAGTTAAATCCCACAAGAGTAGGGTCTGGGGAGGGTGTGTGTACGTAGACCTTACCCCTACTCGAAAGTAGAGAGGCTGTTTCCATAGAGACCTCCGGCTCAACGTCAAAAGTTGCATTGCTTGACTAACTGCTACTTCATTAACTAAAGAAGCGCAGACAGTTTAGAGAGCCGTTTTGATTTATTCCATCACACCCCAAAGCCAAAAAATGATGAAATTTTGGCTCCATCGGAGATTATGGAAAATGTAACATGACTAAAAGAACATAAAAATATACCTTATCATGAAATTTAGCCCTTTGTTTACTTATTTAAGTATATAAGTTTCATCTGTTCATGTCATAGCCATGAACCATAGCCTAGATTTAACACAATAGAAATCAAAGTATGACATGATTAAAGAGAAATGAAAGAATTACATTGAACTTATGAAAGAAAAATCGCTCGCATATTAACCCCTCCATGAACAAAGCCATCCCACCAGGGCCTAGCTATCTGTTGCCATTTAGATCAGGTCACCATAGGAGGTTTGTAGGTGCCGAGGGTCTGAAGCGGATGAGGAATCGTTAAGAAATGGAAACCTTGACTTGGAATTGTTAAAAAAGAATAAATACAGTGAAAAACTGTTACAAATTGAAAGATCATATAAGCGTTTGGAAATGTTCACTTTTGTTGCCAACATTCATCAAAGATGCATGTTATCTTACTACCCTTATAATTCTTCTAGGCATTTAACCAAGAATAAAATTAGAACAATGAAACCCAGAGTCTTAACCCTTCTCCTCTTCTCCTTACCCTTCTTCGTTAACCATATGTGTTGTATCCCCTGGTACTACACCTGACCCTCAAATCCTTAAACAAATCAGTGGAATCATGTCTAAGTGTTACGATCCTTTCTGGAATGAATTCTCCAACCCTAAACCATTTTACTTAACCATGACAACCTTGAGCCTATCTCCACCCTGAAAAGAGCCGTATACCCTGCAACACAACCTTGGCCGAAACTACCCCACTCCCTACTTGAGTCACTCCATCAATGTAACACATTTTGTGCCAAAAAAAACCATATCACACAATAAGTCATTTTTCCCTTTCATTTCCCTAAGCTAGGGCCGAAACACACCAAGCCAAACAACCATATTTCATCACCCAACATCCCACAAACATTGTCCCCCCTTGTCCCCTAGTACAACCAAAATAACAAGCACAACAAGCCAAGGGATATTTTTGATTACTTTGACCTTTAAACCACCATAAAAGCCACCCTATAAAAGCCATATTTCTCACACCCCACTGTCGCCCACTATGGCAGAATGAATCACTCCCCAACCACCAAATATTCACCTCACTAGCCAAGCCAAAATACCCAACACATCACCCATCCATTTTGCCCTCTAATATGGCCGAAAACTCCCCTCCATTCATGAATATTCATTCATGAATCCTTGTCCCCATTTTCCCTGATTTTATTCCATGAAAGGACTCAAGCACATGACTGCATTTTCTAGGATTTGTGGAAGAAATAGCTTAGTATTTTCCTTTGTATGAGTGCCTTTAAATTTCGGCCATAGGCCTATTGTAATGCTCAGATTTTTATTCTTCATTTCAAGATAGAAATACACTGGTTGTATTCTGTTTTCAAATCCTAATTTCTATATCTTAAGGTTGGTTTCCTTAAGTGTGAGTGTTAGGTTCTAGTTATTTAATTGAGTGTGTAATATCTTAATTAAATTCTAGACTCAAACCCCAAGTGAGGATAAGAGTGTGTTATATCTCTTAAAACCTACTTGGTTTTTATCCCTTTTCCCCTCTTATTTTCCCTTCCAAATTTTCGGCCCTCCTAAAAAGCACAACCAGTATCCCCCTTTTTCTCCCCTATTCTTATGCCTTTAAACCATCTTAAAAATCAACCCTTCATCCTCCTCCATATACTCGACCAGTCCACTCCCCTCCCTTTCCAAACCCAAGCTTAAATATATCAT